ACTTCATATTCTGCTCGTCCTGATAATCATTACTAGATAACGCCTAACTGTGTAGAAATTAAAAGACAGATATGAAGTGTTGATTACGTTTATTATTGCACCACACATAGATCACCAAAACCATAGGCATACGAAGCATGAATGATATACGAGTACCGATGAGCAAGCCAGTGAATGAGTCCATGAACAGAAAGGAAATGTACATAGGAAAAATGAACGCGACATTGAATCTTTTAGGCGACTCACATCAAAAGCTAGAAGAATGAATGTGTGCGTAGGGGATAAGCAATGCTCAAGCATACATGTTCCTGAAAACGTAACAGTGATAAAAGTTACAATGCTATGGATAAGTTGTCACTGTACAAATGACTCTATCCGTTAAATAAGTTAATAAAATGCCATAACCAAATTAAATATGAACAAACTTCAATTAGTATTCTATACTGATGATGTCGTTCAGAAGAACAATGAAAGTTTCACGACCAAACCATTCAGTTCAGGGAACAAAACTATATCAAAATTATCCATCTGAGCTATAAATCTTATCCACCATCTTATAAATACAATTGATTATCACATACGGGTTAAACATTTGTCATTTTGATCACTAATTCTTTATTATTATTTGTCATATCTCTTTATTCATTATTCATAAAATCTTAGAGTAAAATTTATGGCAACATTTATTACTTTCAAAGAACACTAGAATTGTTAAAGTTGAATTATCTCTTTTAAGTCTTTCAAATACTTGTATTTCGTTTAGTTTTCTTCAGTCAAATAGCAGGAATATCAAAAATAGGTTAAGCGTTCGCGCGCGAGACTGAAGGCCCTGGGTTTGAATCTCGTGACCAGATCGTGGATGCGCACTGCTGAGGAGTCCTACGATAGGACGAAACGGCCATCCAGTGCTTCCAGGTTTTCGATGATGGTCTAACATCAATCGGTTCATAATCTTCACTGAAAATAACTTTACTATGAACCTTTAAGTGGATAAGGTAACTTTGCTTTTGTACGTTAACAGTAGTTATAGGTAAATATATAGGAAGCTGAGAACAAATAGCAAATAACCATCATTAAAATTACTTCGTTGATGAAAGTTTCTTAATCAATCGTTAATACAAGACGTTTAGTCAGCATAATGTTACAACATAAATGGGAATGCTGATTGTCAAGTTACAAGCTTAAAATGATAAGAGTGTTGTAAACAGAGGATTAAGAAGACCTCGATATCTGGAAAAAGGAAACACGAAATAAAATGGACAGATTGCATGCAACTAGACGATTTCTACTTCACAGATCACGTAGATCTTCTATCCCATATACACCAATAAATACGAACAAAGATAAACACTGTAGCAGGAGCCTCTACATCAGCAGGCTTCAACATACATAAGTGAAAAAGCAACATCCTCAAATATAACACAGAGAACATCAACCAACTCAATCACATATGATGGATATAGTGTAGAAGAGGTGGAAACTTTCATGTACCTGGTCAGCAGCATCATGGATGAAAAAGGAGGATGTCATACATACGCAAAGGCGAGGATTAGTAAAACAAGTGGAACATTCCTACAGTTGAAGAATGTACAGAACTCAAAACAACTGTGTGCAAGACGATATCAAATTCAGAATCTTCAGTTAGTTCTACTGTACAGCGCTCAAAAGTACGAGTATTTACAAACAATTGTCTAAGCAAGATACTCAATGTCCGTTGTCGAGCGGATACCATCAGCAAAAGACTTACTGTGAGAGGGAACGAACCAGGTTCCATCTTAAGAGAAAACTAGAAAATGACGCTGGGGGTGGATAGGACATACATTGAGAAATTCATCAAACTGCATCATGATGCAAGCCCTAACTTGAAAATCATGAATAAAACAGTAAAAGAGGAAAATCAAAGAATACATTGAATCGGGAATAGGAAGCAGCCATAAAAAGGGTGAATAGGAACTCGGAAGGATTTTTGAGGTGAGAGTTGGATGGCGAATGTTACCTCTCCTTCACGAGGGGTAACAGAGGAAAGTAAGTAAGTTATCAACAGAAAGAGATTAAAGAAATCTCAAACATATATGTATAAACCTCATATTTCACTAAATATATATAGGATGGTTCATTATTATAGAGAAGTTGATAGTAATTTAAGGATTTGGTTAATTTTCTTTATAGGTTAATTATCACCTTAAGTGATTAGCATTAAACTTTATAAATTAAGAGAATGATATTTCACTTATAATGATGTAAACCATTCTGTGTTTATTTAATTATTCATTCTAATGACCGGGATGGTTAAGGTTGAAACTTAACACAAATTCAAATTAATCCACACATTAAAACAAGCTTGATTGACCTGGAAATTTTATCAAAACCTCCTATGCACACAAAAGCGCTAGAAAATGTTATATTAAAAATAAATGAATAAACTTCTTATACTATTTTATTCATTTTTAGATTAATCCTAAATTTTTTTATTGAGATCATGAACCGATGAATGTTAGACTATGATTGAAAACCTGGAAGCATTAGACAGTCGTTTCGTCCTTTTGTGGAACTCCTCAGCAGTGCGCATCCACGATCCCGCCTCGCGAGGTTTGAACTCTAACCTTAACCTCAAGACCACTGGGCTGGCCGGCATTTAACGGTGTTAATATCTAACCTCAACCAATCCTCGTAATTGCGCGACCATCTTTCATTGTACTGAGGTAGATACCTGTCCCTACCCGACACGGATCAGCTCCACTAGTCAGGGCTCCTCAATAAAATTCCGAGAATTCGCTCACTAAGCTAGTCACTAGTGAGCACATGGTAATTATCAGTATCGCGGATTGGTTGAGGTTAAACATTAACACTTTTAGATGCCAGCTCAGTGGTCTATGGGTTAAGCGCTAACGCGCGAGAGTGATAGGTCCTGGGTCCGAATCGGGATTGTGGATGTACACCGCTGAGGAGCCTCAAAATGGGACGAAACTGCCGTCCAGTGCTTCCAGGTTTCAATAGTTGTCTAATATCAATCGGTTCATGATCTCAATCAACAGTTTAATAATCTCCGCACCCTTATACTGATAATCCTAAATTATTTATGGATTTATTTTGTTCAGTATAGTTAAATAATTTCATATGTAGCCTGTCACTCTGACCTCTTTGACTTTTTTATTCAACATGATCTCATAGTAGTGTAACCGAATTTTTCCACATTAGATAAACCATATACAAAACTGTATGAGTATGGAGCTCAATAAGATACCATGTTACCATGATACTCAAAATGGGAGTTGAAGTTTTGCGCTTCTAAATGTGAATGAATTTGCTTTGATAATTTTCTTATCAACCTAGATTTCCTAATAAAGAGTAGGGTACCATGTTAGCTTTATATAGTGATGGCCTCAATACTCAGATATTCCCAAATTCATCCTCCTTTGAACAGCTCTTCAGGAAGACTTTCAAGTCCCAATAACTTCTAGATTGCATACGTATTAATCTCTATAATAGTTACCCATCCAGCGGGGATTTACACTTTGCATGCTTGGGAGTGATTGTATTTTAAACTATAAATGTATATAAGATAGGCTTGAAATCGACTCTTTATGAAAGCGAACACTTCAATGAAATTTAGTCTTTTCCTGCAATCCGAAATGTAAAAACACCTAATTATAGCATTCATAACTCTTTATCGTTGATGAAAGAATTTCATCCTGAATCTTCCCTCTATATGAATTACTTTCTTATTTATTCATTGTATTGATGTTTATCTCTTTACAAAAACTACCTTGAATGTGTTTACAACTTTAACTATTACTTCTACTAGTGCAATTTTAGGGATATTAAATGTTTAGTTCATGTTAATGACAAGACAACAATGAAACGAAACAATTCAAGCAGTCATACTTATTCAAGTAGAATCTTCATTTCATCGTATGAAATCTTAACAATATACACTAACTCAAAATGGAACACAAAATTGTTCCCAATACAAATATATGAGACCCCTTTGAGTGTTTCATAAATGTTACACATACACACACATATATCGTTCAGAAGAAAAGATTTTAGAGTTTTCAAGTTTTAATTTGAGAATTTGTAAACAAAGTTAGACTCATTTAAAGCATCAAAATTGTTTAATAATGGAGATTTATGTAACTTTAGCCAATTTATTTATGTACTTAAACAATAGTGTTACAAGTAGGCACCAAATAGATATACGCCACATAAATCATTCGATTTGTGTGAGATCTAGGAGACTGCTCAGATGCCCAAACTGAAGCAGGTGGTTTTCTTAGGAGCCCACACTCCGAGCATTTGGCCTAAAGGTCTGATGTACAAGGTAGTAGATTAACGTTAGGAGATGCAGTCCGATGGTAACCGGTGACCAACAATAGGTTCATATGACATTTGTTCCTTCAGGGTACTGCAGCCCATGTTCACCAATGGTTTAGAATCAAGGTTTTTCAACTCCTCAAAGTCCACTCTTCATGTTCACGTACCTGGTTAAAGCGCCTGACATTCGCCTTTTGTCCTATCAATTTCGTAAACAACATTCATGCCGTGAAAGGGCAGTGAGTAGGATTTCCCTGACAATGGTTGTATGCACGTGGTCATGTGAGAGCATTTGGAGAGAGAGATCTGCCTCTCCTTACTCTTGGCCATACCAGAGGATTTGGGGGCTAATTTCAGCCAAACAATTGAACAATCTATTCAATCATAGACATCAAAAACTTTAATTTCAGGATTTCGTATACTTCTCAACGAGATTTTCTTGTTTGCCTTCAAAATCAAATTAAACACTTAACACCCTAAAACAACAAAGATTTTGATAGAATTTTTGTCTTTGAATTAAATAGTTTGATTGTGGAGCTTTCATCGTTCTTCTGAACGACATCATCATCAGCAGTATAAACTTCAAGTTGATGGGTACTTCCACAACAATGATTGATTAAAACAAACTAATCACTAAGTCAAAGATTTTGTTTCTATGTACATTAAAATTACAAAATCATACTTACTAAAATGAAAATGTATTTCATTTTTGTTCTTGTATTGATAAAATTAATCCAGAATTATTCATGATATAAAATATTTCTGATCTATTTATCATTGAAGTTCATCAATATTTTGATTATAATATTATTAAGGGAATGGTGTATTCATAAAATATTGATTATTGTTCTAATCTCTATGATGAATTCGAATATGAAAAAGCGTTAGTAACATGAAATAATATTATCACTCAGTAACAAAACATTTTTCCATTTTCCCATTTATATATATATATATATATATATATATATATATATATATATATACATAATGAAATCACTGGGGTGGGGGAGGTATTACCTGTTTCTAGTTGTATTGATATACGTATCTATATCTATATGACCTTGTGAGTGAATGGAAATAAGCACCAATAGGAATTAAGTTTTCATGATCATGTTATTTATGTGATTATGTTGTTTATTGAGTTATATTATCTTATAATAAACTAGTGTTCGTACATCAAACATTCTAACCCATTAAATAGGTTCTTAGATTGTTTCATTTCATCTAAATTATGATGAATCACTTAACAACAATCCTACTTAAGATAGTGGAGAAGATTTGTAGCTAAGGTGGATGATTTTTGATGGAGTTTTGTTCTCTGAGCTGTATGGTTTGGTCGTGGACCTTTCATCGTTCTTCTGAACGACATCATCAGCACAAACTTCAGATAGAAGTGAAGTGTTCAAATTTCTCGATATGCATTTCACAGCTTGTTCTGTACACTTTGACGTTGTCTGGTTCTTATTGACCTTAAATTTGTCATTGTTTACTTCTTTGTTTTGGTTGTGTCTCCCGTTGGTTTGATTTTTGTTCTTATATTTGTGCACAAGCTGTGAAACGCATATGGAGAAATTCGAACACTTCACTTCTATCTGAAGTCGGTGCTGCTGATGTCATTCAGAAAGACGATGAAAGCTCCACGACCAAACCATCCAGCTCAGAGAACAAAACTCCATCAAAATCCTACTTAAAAAATTTTTAAAAAAATTAAATCAAAATCAATAACTATTCCAAGTAATATGAATACAGATATCGATAGTCTCTAACCCACTATAAGTTTATAATCAGAGATGGATTGCGACTAGCAGTGAAATCCAGTTTAATGCGTGTTTCGTTTTATTCGGGACTCCTCAGTTGGATGCTAATAAAAGATTAATCAATTGCCGTTCAAAATATTAATAGAAAGATTTAAGTAAACAATACCCAATGAATTTATAAGTTTATAATTACTCGACAATTAAACTTGGTAAATTCAGAGTTGGTTTTTTTTTTGTTGCGTAGATACTAAAATTTAAATTAAATATTTGTACACTTAAATGAATCCATAAGAAGCTCAATAACTTTGTAGTGACCTACTTTTATCAAGAGAACGCGATTGGTTTAATGGAAACAATTATTATTATAACCAATTGTACCAGGGATTGTTTAACTGTACTAAAGACATACTTTCTTCCGTTGATTGTGACCTTGCACACATGTTTGCTCAGTGATTCCGCTTGTACTTCTCTGGCACGATCTCGATATTCTTTCGATACCATGAGATCACCAACAAATATATCTCGTTACAACCTCTAATCGCCTTCTGATATCTGGTACGCAACCTTCTTGTAGTGGTGATCATAGTCAACCGCGACTCGACTCCACGCTACAACTTAATGTTCTATGAACATTTATCATTTGTGCGAAACAGGCTCATCATTTAAAGTTTTGAACAAGATAACTGGATAATTAACTAAGGTAGTAGGTTTTCGTGTTCTTTGAATCGCTAAAGCTTTTACTATGTATTTCTTTGTTCCTATCCTCAATAATTTATTACTGTTTTGACCAAACATTGTATTAGTTGTTGTTGTAGCAAAATATTTACATTGGCGATTACATAGAGTTGATGATGATTTTGCTAAAAAGAGAAAACTTTACTGAATGTAGCTGTACCTAAAGATCGATCTCAAGTTTCTAAAAATATTTTTTTCTAATGCTTACTGTCGATTTGGTGAAATGTAAAATACAAATAACAGAACCTCATTCTATTCTCTCAAGATTTCACCATTTAAACTTCAAACTCAACTACAGTAATTTACAGTTTAAATGCATTTGAGAACATTTGAATTCACCTTAAAAAGGGTGGAAAAGTGATGGCCTTTTTCGAAAATCAAATATGTTGTCAAAAGGTTATTAGGTACTCCAAAGTTTTTGAAACATTTACATATACATATGGAACACGGAACCATGATATTTTGGAATTCAGAAGCACCTGATAATATACCATCTGAAGCACTGAAGTTACACATATAAGTAACTGCATACGTGCTCTACGTTCTATTCAGGAAGATTTGGAAGCAAGGACAAGTGCTGACAAGCTGGAAAGAGTGATACGTCATTAAGATACAAAAGAAAGTAGATCGGAGTAAATGTGAAAACTACAGAGGTATCACATCACTATCAGTACCAGGAAAGCTTTTCAAGTGGGTGTTACCTAATCCAGTAAAAGATTCAGTAGGGAGGCCATCTTTGACACAAACAGGCTGTATTATAAGGTACGACCACGTATCGACCTTAATCGACACGCTGTGGATCAGTATTGAGAATTTGATTGAACAAAATTCATCGACATATATCAAACTACTTGATCGTTAGAAATCGTTCGACAGGGAGGATAGGAGAGTCTCTTGGAATCGTCTTCGACAGTGCATTTTACCTGGGAAGATTTTCAACGTCTAAATGAACTGCTCAAGCAAACTGAACTTCAAAGTCATCCATGGATGCAGTTCACATATGCAACTTAGGTCAAGTCTTCTATCTGATAAAACTCTTTACTCACTTTTTTTCTTTCTTGTGGTTGTTTCCTGGATTATGCAGACTCTCATATCTGAAGGGGCGGGGAATACAAAAAACATCTTTAATGCAGCTAGACTATTTGGACTGTACAGATGTCCTAGCTCTTTTATCCTAAACACGGCAACAAATTCGGGCAAAGGTAGCCAGTGTAGCAACAGCTTCTGCATCAGTAGGCTTCAACATACAAAAGGGAAAAAGCAAAACCCTCAAATACAACATCGAGAGAACCAATCTAGTTACACTCGATGGAGAAGCACTGGAAGAGGTGAAAATCTTCAAATACTTGGGCAGTATCATCGTCAAACATAACTGATCTGATAAAAATGTAAAGGAACGGATTGGCAAGAAAAGAGCAGCTTTCCTAAAATTGAAGAACACTCGACATTGAAAGATCTATCAAAGAACACCAAATTTAAAACAATCCTATTAGATGAGGCCAAAAGTTGGCGAATCACCACAGATATCACTAGGGAATTGCAGGTATTTATAAACAGCTTTCCAAGCATTATACTTCCGATCTGTTAGCCAGAGACAATCAGTAATTATCAGTTGTGACAGAGAACAAACCAGCTTCCAGTTGATAAGGAAGTCAGGAAAAGACGTTTGAGGTGGATAGGACACATTAAGGAAATCACTGGACTGGATAGCAAAGTAAACCATAACTCAAAATCTTCAAGGGAAATGAAAAGAAGACAGATCAAAGAGCACATGAAACCTTATATTTAAGGTGGACGTCTAAAGAATTCGCATCACTTGATGACATTTAGAAAGAAGAGCTCAGAATGGAGTTAGTTCATAGAAATCTAAATTAGAAATATACATATAAACTTGTGATTACCTACTTCTATAAAAATGAATTTTATGCTTAAAATATCGTGACATTTCGGAAAGACAACAATGTAATTTGCTTTATTATAAACTTGAAGTGAATTTATGAATCTGTCAATATTGTCTTACGTATAGAATAATATATATTTTTTACAGTAATCAGAAGTCACCAAGGTAGTCACTTTGAATAGTACAGCTAGTTGAGTGCAATAGTTGACTATACAAAATGATCTGACTTTTATCCAACTAGATATATAAAACTGATAATGTCACATTTTAGCGTTGGATTTACATAGGAGATCCAATGAATGTTTCCAAATCCGCAATTGAAAGTACTATGCACTGCATAGATATCATAATTATCGAAAATAATTTATGTTTGAATATGACTGGTGGCGAGACTACAATTTATGGACGAACCAATCAGGTAAAAGATAACAGGTCTCTGATTTTGGCGTGAAATTCATCCATCCATTTGGCTGAATAGAGTTTTGACATTATAGCTGATGTTTCAGTTCGTGATGAAAACCCTAAATCCAATTCGTAACCCTAACCATCAACTGTAAATCATAATTGTAATTTCTCATGCTGGTCGATAACCCTGATTTGGTCTCAGATGTTAGGTGAACACTCTCAAAGTCACTTTAGCGTCACTGAAAGGTTGTCCATAAATTATAGTCTCACCTAACTGGTTAATAATCTGGTTTTGCCTTAGTTACGGAACGTTTTGCTTATCTATCCCGGGTATTAATATCAGCTTTTGATTTTTTTTGAGTTCATGTCCATCTCTTTATTTTAACTGGTTAAATTCAACCTACCGCATGTCATAAAATTGATTAATTTACCTATTCAAAAACTGAACTAAATATTCAGTGATTTCAAGTTCCACTATCTCTTTTTATACTATTCTGTTTTCGAGATTACATGATTCCATTGATCGACCTTTGAAAAATAATCCCAAGTTATCTAGACGTAGTAACTAAGTAGGCGAAATGATGTCGTTTGAAGCGAGTGGTGCTGGGTTCGAGTCCTCGGCTAAAACTTATCTATTTGTATTTAATGTATTGTATTTAGGCTGAATTTTAATTTTAATTCTCATATATCTATATCTATATCTATCTATCCATATATATACATATATATATATATATATATGATTTGGTCATGGAGCATTCATAGTTCTTCTGAACGACATGATCATCAGCACAAACTTCAGGTAGAAATGTTGATGATGTCGTTCGGAAGAACTATGAAAGCTCTACAAACAAACCATCTAGTTTAGAGGACAAAACCCCATCAAAATCATCCATCTGAGCTAAAAATCTTCTCCACCATATCAAAATGTATAATTTGTTTATGATAGAAACTTATTTATTTATATTATTTTAGTGATAAGGTCTCTAGAGATTTGGCTACATT